TYMAAAAGTAGTTGTTTACTGTTCCCAAATGTTTGTACCTTTGAGAATGACTTTAACTGCTTTCTCTGCAGTATCTGCTGAATTCTCAACATCAAGAGACTTAAGAAGATCAATCACATTTCCTTGGAAAGATTTCAGCCATGATCCTTGTAAAAGGCTTTTTGCACAAACATCTTGAATCGCTGCAGACCTGCAAAGTAAACACGCTGTATATCTTATTTTATTCTAAAAAAAATACTGCATTCAATCTCTTTGAAAATGCCACATGTTGTCATGCTCAGTCTCAGAGATAACAAAGTTTACCTGTCATTCAGACCATCTTGAAGTAACTGTACTCTTAATGCAATGCTTAGYGACTGGATTTTGACCTTTTCAGCAAGGATGCGAAAGGCTATCTTACGCACTGACTCTGTAACATCATGGGTTCTCACTACATAAAATACAATGATGTTCAAACAAGCTGAGTTGAAACCTATTCACAACAGAAATCTTTTCAATATCAGAACCTTCTTATTACACAACTAATGAAAAACTTTATAAGTAAAATTTAACACTTTTATATATATTTTCATAATATACATTGTTATAATTGAAGTTCGGCTGCCATTAAAACAAAATCTGTAAAACTTACAAAACTTCCTGCGGTGGGACAGTTCATTTTTAATTATAAGATTAATTTTAGAAACTCATTCCCAGTTCTTCACAGCAGAAGCCCATACTGGTAATTACATACATGTACAGTATTTTATTGAGCAGCCCAACCACTGGATCACCAAAAAACATTTAAAGTCTTCAAAAGCATTCTTTTTAAACTCCCTCAAACATGGTGTATTAATGTTCAACATACAGATATTACTATCAAATGGTGCAGATAAAATTGCCATATGAGCATCGCCCCACTGTGTTTGATTATAATCAAAGAGCCATAGTATGTGAAAACGGCGTAAGTGACTTTTTTTAACCCCAAGGAAATCAATTGTCTTTTGGTACAATATGTACCCTTGCACCTACCAATAATTTCACTGAGACTTTTTCGRCTCAGTGCTAAATTAAGTAGAACGGCTTTCCTAACATCTGCACTAGAATCAGTGGCTATCATCTGTAAGTAAGAAGTCATGACGGGGCATTCACTGTCTGTGGGATCTTGCAGCCTTGACAASGCATAAACAGCTTGGACCCTGATGGGTGGTATCTTATCAGTAAGTCTTTTCAGCATGTGCTTCAGAATAGAGTCAGCCATGTCATCATCAATGCATGCCTCGTCATCCATGTTGCTGAGGATCTTGTGGATTAACTGACAGGATCGAAAGCGTAYTGCTTTGTCCTTGGCATCATGGCAGTCCAAGATAAATACAATTAGGGTTTGAAGGAATGGATTGTCCATGGGTGCATCTTCACCATCGCTTAGGTTTCCATTCTAAGTTCCATTTGAAGATAATAACAAATATTGAAATGGTGTTACACAAAAATTAAAATATAATATTGACTTTACTTTCATGTACCCTACTTGTGCTAAATCAGTACCCAGTTTAACACATGGAAAACTATGTGTTTTAAGAGTTTATTTATTTATATTATCATATAATTACTTTCTTCTATATTATAGCTTTCATAGCATGTGCTCTGGGCCATTCCATTCTAAATCCCCCCTCCCCCCTGCACCAGTTCGAAGACTTTTTCGGGGGGTTCTTAAAATCAAATTTCTGGGGGGAAAAACATGTCGGCGCATTTGATCTTTTGATATTTTCAGGGGGTGAGTCAAAGATAATAAATTTCTGGGGGTTTAATGTGTCGGCACCTTTGATCTTTATTTYTTAGGGGGTTTTGTGACATGAACTCTTTGATATAGAGGTGGTGTGTGGATCTCCAGCTCAAGATTTTTTAAGGCTTTTCATGTTCTGCCAAAATTCATCAGCAGGAACCAGGAGGTTGCTTAATTGACAGACAACCAAGCATACCTATTTCTTTTTGAATCAAGGCATCAGCCTCCATCTCTTTATTAACCTTAAAGACCAGATGCCTCATATACAATGTATCAATGGTATAAAGTATGTAGATGCAATACAGGCTAGCAAGCCCTTTCACCTCAATAAAAAATAGAAAGGTGGCAGAGGGAATTAATGTGGTATTACTACATCACACAATCATGACCATTTTGATCTATTTCCATTAAAATATTAATCCTACTTATAATGCACCTATCAATGTCTTGACCCAATGGGGGGAGTGCAGGCATACTCGCCGGCTATTGAAAAATAAAAGGTCACCGGTGACTGAGGCAACTTGACTTTTATTGAAACAGGGATTCCCCCTGGGCAGGGTTTATTGACATTTTGACCGAGGAGGGTTGGTGCCGCAAATGTTGTAAAATGGCAGAAATGCAGCAAGAGGYTGTGAAGAACATAAGATTCTTCAAGTATAAATGATGTCACCATGTGTGAAGGAATTTTGATACACACAGTTTTATCAATGTGATCATTGGATTTTCACAAAATCTATCATGCCCTGTGTGTTTTTAATAAAACTGGAACAACCTTAGCATGAAAACATAGTCGAGGCTTTGAGAAAGTTTTAGACTAAAAACCTTTCACTCGGTTACAGTTACAATGGGGGTATTATGACAAATATTGACATGAACATAAACTCTCAGAATAGGGGCTATTGACAAAAAAATATGAAAAATGTCAATAGCCCCTGAGTATGCCTGCACTCCCGGGCCCGTTGGGGCAAGACATTGATCTATGTGCATTAGGCCAATAAAAAGTGCGTGCAATTTTTTGCCCTTCAACATTTGGAGCAGCTCACAGGGCTACGTGTATTGATATTTTTATAATCTTTTTACGTACAATAAGSTTGATTGTGTATACAATTCAAGTTTTGAGTACCTTTTGACTTGGTGCCTCGTAATGCACATTGGAAGTTGAATACTTGGCAACAAACTCTATTATCCTTTCGACTGCTGGTTCTCTTTTGAAGACAATCATGGCATGTCTCAAATGATCGATAAAAGCCTCCATAAATTTCTCTTGAGAAGAGAAGCCATCTTGGATCCTTTTTAGAGCTCTTATAAGCTTAGCGTGATGCTGGAATCCACGTTGTGCCTCTTCAAAGACATTGCGTAYAGTTTCGCAAGTAAGAGGCATTTTTTAGTAGGTAAATAAGTCTTTTTTTGTGAAAACGTTCTTCAAAATTTGGCAAGGAAAACAAACGACTTCGAAAAGTGGCGCCTAAATTATCGCGCCAGACTCCTCACGGTCATAAAASTATTTCTTCCCCAGTCTYTTCTAATATTATRGATCCACAGGTAGCCCAATCTTGGCCAAAAGATATTGTATGCGCTGAATAAGGCCGCTATTACAATTCAAACATAAACAAAAGCTCAAACTACTCGACCCCGTTTTGGATAGGTACGTGCCGCCAGAGGTCTAAATCCCTGACCCTGTTTAAGACACTAAAAAGTAAAAATCCATACCCTGTTCAAGACAAATTGGAAAAATAAGGAATAGATAGCTATCTACGACGCAACCATCAAAACTGCAATTATACTGACATCCATCAAAGACAATAAGAAGTTTTTGATAACACGTTAATCCTGGGACAGTGAAACGGTATTTCTACTATTTCTACGGTGTTATGAAAATATTACCCTGYCCAAGACACACAAAAAAATTATATCTGTCTCTTTTATCTAAATTGTAGAGCCTGTTTAAGACAATTTCGGGTGAAATGTATACCCTGTTTAAGACAGCAAGGCCAAAAACCATACCCTGGCCAGCGGCRCGTCCCCGTATAGCAAATATATATGGGAGTACCCCCCCTCCCCCCTCCCCCCCCGGGTCACAAACAAAGAAATTCAAAAATTTTGAACATCATTCTATTATTCCAATATTAATTTGCCTTTTCTTTTTTGCAGTGTTTGTACATGRGGAGCTGAAATATAATCAATGCCTTGTATGGTTGAGTGAAAGAAACCACTCAAATTCAAAAGGGTCKGTGTACATGTCGTCACTTTGCCTGAATGGCCTGCCTCTTAAAATGCTGAAACTTATTGTTTTTTGATGACCCCACATAATGATTAAGTAACAAATCCTATAGTTTCCATAAACATTTTTCATGGTATAATAGTTACAAGAAAGATAAACACAGTAAAACACAGTACAAAAATGTACAGGGGATGCAATAACTTATGCAGTTAATAAACTCATCATGTCAGGAATTGAAAAATGACACCACAAATTAAATTATTTCTTTTGTTCAGTATTTGAACATTTTTTTCATTGAATTATTGAGAAACTCATATCATTTCACTTCTAAAACTCTTAGAATGACATAAAAGATTCACATTTTATCATCAAAAATATAGACTATTTCACTGTTGTTGCCAGCATCCAAAATGAAGGTTTTTCTAGTGAAACACTATATCATATTATTATTGAGCAAAATGTACTCTAAAATTAGCAAATTTGCCCAAGTTCAGCTCTACAAAGCACTATGGAGTAATTTTACAAAAGATAATTGTGAGCACAGTTTAAAATCTGTTTGAATCACATTTCTTAGTAAAATTTCGGTTTTTAGAGCTGCACCTTGAATTTTTAACAAATTTACTTTCATACATCTGTCTTTGGCAAATTTGCTGATTTTAGGACTACCCTCTTTTCAGAGGACCGTCAGTATTTTTATAGGGTGCTTTACTTTGAATGATGTGCACATGGAAACTGAATCTGTGAAATGGTCTACTGAAACATTTACAWAAAAAAATGAAACAAAACAAGACAAATAATGTCAAAAAAATTGCTAAAATGCAGAACACAGGTGTCTGAATCTGGCAATTCAGCACAWAGAATGTTACTTGTAGCTTGTGCACATCAATTCCCACCCCTCCCTCCCTACAGTGAAAATTCGGAGGTGAATTTTACCCAAAGGGGGGAGGGGTGGGAATGGATATACACAGGCTATGTTACTTGAAATCCATAGAATTTTGTATGCTATATGTCAAATTATTATTTTTTTCATTCAAATCTGCATCATATCCCAAAGATTAATTTATCATACATGATAAGAAACCCATGATAATTATTAAATGGACTTTGTTAATTATGAAGACCAAGGAAGAAAGAGATTGGTTACAATATCTAAGAATATTTTCTATGGAAACTTATCCAAAGCACTAGTTGTCAGCAGCACCASATGTTCTGACATTTTGTTTTAGTTATCTACTGGAGTTGGTTGGGGTAGAATCACTTGTATAACAAAGTTCTTTTGAATTTTAGCTTCTTCAATTGTCATTTTATCTGTGAGCATTCTTCCAGAATAAAACCATCTTTGCTGACCTGGTTCCACTCCTTCCATTTTATGTAACTTCTTTTTAATTTTTAGTATTGTGTCCTGAGTGTAGACAGTCAACTTTAAGTCCTTACCAGTGGACAGTCTTAGTTTGACACTAGTTTCCTCGCCACTTGGTTGGTTGTCTTTTTCATCATCAACTTCATCACTTAGATTACCACTAATATCTTCGTCTTTGATAAGATTGGTTGGTTGACTGATACAGTAAATTGGCAAAACATAACGATTTCCAAGTTCATCATAAGCATCTTGCAGACACCCTGTATATACATGTAAATAATCAATAATGAATTATTAATAAAAAATAGCAATAATCTATAACATCCATGAAATGCGCAGATATTTTTGCTAGTGAAAATAACATCTCCTTTGCTACTCTCAATCATGGGGTATCTTTTAAACACTTAAAGATAAAATCTGTTATCCCAGTGAATGCCCATGACCCTCTGTATACTACATGTAAATTCAATAAGGATATGCTACTAGTCAAAACAAGATAAGAAAATTGATAAGTTTCATCATAGCATTACTCATAGAGAATATCATTTTACCCAGTACAGGTGCAATTTTTTGGTACTGATTCATTGTTAGTTAATATCTATGTAATATTATGATTTCCCATGATCTTTTTCTGTACATGTAGCTTTCATGATGTACATGAACTGTACATGCAGCCTTTTGGGAGATGACTAGGCTCTTTATAGTTGTACATATCTTATTAATTAAATATAGCAATATGCAGAAATTATGAACATTACATAATGACATATATTATATATATATTATATTATATTATTATATATTATTATTATATGACTTACATGTATATTGCATTATTATAATATATCAGCAATTATGGGATATCATCTCCAATATTTTATGAAGTTGCCTAGCACTAGTTCTTTTTGAAAAAAAAAATGTCAGTGATATCCCATGATTTCTGAATACATACTTATATACTTGAAATATGAGCAAAAAAGATATGCTGTATTATATTTAAGGTGACTTAAACAAAGACAAAAACAAAAACTAAATAAAAAACAACAACAAAAAACTAAATCATAAATTAAACTGTTSTGATGATAAAATGATTAAAAGTACAGTTAGGGGATATTTGAGCTGGTAGACCTTTTTTTCTCTGATAAATTCAATTACATGTAGTTGACAATCAACTCATTGTGCTAAATGCTACGAATAGCTTGCTCGTGTGACATTTTATTGTAATCACAAGGACAGGGATCGAAATAACGGCCAGACATATGCAGGACCAGATGTCCTTCCAAATTCATTTTTGAAGGTCATGTCAAGTTTTGAAAGGACGAAAACTTTATTATACTATTATTATTTTCTTTTAATTTATAGGGTTTTGTATTCAGAAAGATCGGCAAGCATTTTAATGGCTTGTRAAAGATTTGTTTAGCGAATTGAGAATTGATTTGTCTAAAAAATGTGACAGGTCAATTTGTCCTTTCAAAACCCAATTTGGCGGGTCAACTAGTGAATTTGGAAGGACACTGTCCTTTGACCAGCCGTTATTTCGAGCCCTGCAAGGAGCTCCTAAAATACATGATTTAGCAATCAATCACGTCAGTGTTCATGGTACTATTATTCTAAATGCTGAGGTTCAGCAGGAGGTATTATAATCTTTTATAACCACTCTACTGTATCTTAAAAAAACAATAATTACCAACCATATGAACATTTATCATACATGTAATTTAGTTCAAAAAATGATTTAAAAAACACCCCCTGCAAAATAAAAGGCGATATCAACTAACCATCTGCATGTAGCATTTAAAAACATTTATATTCATTTGATTGCCAAGGTCTGTCAATCAAAAACATGGCACACTGTTATTTTCTTCAATGCATAATATGGTCTCACAAGATGGCAGCCAACCTGCATTTTTCCATTTTTCATGTCAAGTTTGCTGCAACAGTTTATCATACATTGCTGTTGTTCTTAATATGTATTTTATTTTTATTTTAATTTATTTATTTATATGTTATACATAATTTAATTATTCATTTTTCTACTTAAAATTAAAACTGTGTTTTGTCTGAATTTAGCCAGGATATTGGTACAGTAATATTATTATTAACTTAAATTTATACTTGAGAAAAAAGCTAGACAAGTAAAAAGAAATATGAAGAAAGAGAAAAAGAAAATTTTATATAAAATTGTCATTACTTTTCAAACCTAGAAAAGACTGATCAAGAGTTGTTTGGATTAACCAAAACAAAGGGCCTTCATTRTAATTGTATGTGCAAAGGTTGTGTCCAAAGGCAATACAGGATTTGCTGCAGACATAGATACTATGTACAATGAATATGGAGCATGGCATATGTAATGTATATCAGTAAAAATGTTTACACAAAATATACAATTTATTCCACAGTCAATATTAAAAAAATCTTTGAAGTGAAACACAGGATTCAATCCTGGTAATAAAATTGAAAATAAGATATTGCTTGCTTAAATTATACCTGAAAGGAAACTAAGTAATCAAAAGGTAAAAATCATGCTGTCTAAGCTGAAGTATAGAGGTTCGTGAAGTGACAATTAAGTACATCATTCTACAAAATGCAAGCCCTACATTGTATAAGAGCTTACTACAAGAAATGCCGAACGACTTGGCAAACTTACCAGTGGGGAGAGTTATATTTGCTCCATCAACGATAGCTTGTGCTARAGTATGATCGTTAGTTTCAGCGGCAGCTCGAAGAGCATCCCAAATTTCCTTCCTTCCTTCAAAAGCGGGTGCAGTCTCCCAGAATTCGTCTCTCTTGCTTCGTAGCTGTCCTTCGGTCAAAGGAACTTCGGAAGTCCAYGAAGGGCGCTCTTTCTTCAGTGGCTGGTTTCTACCGACTGTAACTATAATTTATATTAATAATAAAGTTAGAATTAGCTAAACATTAGTTTTTAAAGATTCAAAGAAGGAATTTTAAGCGTTAGATATCATTCTCAAAGGTTACCTCCGGGAGTACTGCCAAATTCACTCGATTCTACTCGAACACTAGGATCGCCCGATGTTCCCATGCAACCCCCCATATTAACCCCCTAAATACTATTCAAGAGATAGTGCCAAGGATAAAGTGGCCAAAGGCCACATAGAAAAGGGGGAACCCTTTCCAACTGGGCACTTTTCTGTAAAAATTGTCTCAAAACATACAAACTTGAAATCTGCTCGATTTTGTCTATATGTGACGTCATTGGCAGTACTGACGTCATGAAAATAACAAACCAAGAGGAAAAGTATAAATTAGTCAAATTTATAACCGGCAGATTCTGATAAATGAACAGGAATAAGCCATTAAAACACTTCATGTCTCACACTTTCTAAGAAAAATTTCTTTATCTCGACTAAATCACTATGTTTCAAAAGCGAGCCCTCCCCTCCCAAAATGTCAAGTCGAGGCAAATGGTCGTGTAGGACTGGTACGAGATGATCAGAAATCAAAATGGCGGCCTCCTTTCAAGCTCAAAGTATGGAAGGTTTTATTTTACAGTCATATTAGATCCATTTGTGTAGATCTAAAAGGTTTATAAATCAACATTTTGTTTTTATCTATTCAAAGAGCATAAATCCGGTCACGGACAGTCTCAAGAAGAATGGACAGTTCGCGAAAAACTTGCCTTGGCATCTTCAGTTCAAAGAAGTGGGGATCAAAACTGGTGAATATTTCTTTTTTATYGATTTTTTAAGGCTAATATTACGCCTACAAATAATATTATCATACCTTACATTTATAAACTTATTCTTTATAAAGTAAAATTGAGTTAGCTTTAAGTTAAACTAAGCTTGCAGTTCAAATGCAGATTATTAACTTATCTTAATTAGCTACACGTAGCTATAACTTATTGTACATACATGTGCATCCGAAACAAAGTGTTGTTCTAAATTGCAAGACAGTTTTGGCTGCTTTCGCTATGAATGCATTAGTCTAAACCATCATTTTAAGAAAACTACCTGTGGGTCTGGAATTAAGCCAAATCAGTGTTAATACATCTATTGGATATATCAAAAAAACACTGTCAGATAAAATGGCAAATGGAAGTTTTCAAACGTAGATTGCACAAACAAAAGAAGACATTGGTTTTGCAAAAATGATGAAAAATAATAGACCCTTGCATGGTACATCAAAGGCAGTTTTACTGGAGGATAAAGCAAATATTATTTCCCTCTTGCGACCTAGAGTCCACTGTTTTGTCCTSCAGTTGGAGCTGCATTCCCATGAACTGCAAGGGCTCAATGAAATAAGATAGTATGTGGTTGGCTCCGTTRACTGTCCATTTTTACACAGTGTGAACCCAACATTTGAAAGGTTTTATATTTTATAATAACATGTGGATTTCYYGTGCGTTGATTGGTCGAGAGCTATTGTCRCTGAGAGTTTAGACAATGGCAATGACAAGTACAGCAGTCACRCTTGCCACGCAAAACAATTTACAARTGAAACTACGCAGAATTCTGAAAAATAAACAATGATTTAAATGGAGAAATCTACTTGTTATCATAAAAAAATAATTTGCAGGGGGTTTTTCATTGTCTGTGTACTCTTATTGACATCAAAAAATTGACATCAAAAAATTGACATCAAAAAATGCTCTGAATCAACTTGCTTACGCTCATGGTTCAACTTGAGTTTTGAGCATTTTTGACGTCAATTTCATTGTCAATAAGAGCAAAGACAATGGAAAACCGCCTGCAAATTGTTACAGTGCAGCTACTGAAACTAGGGCCACCTAGAGAATATAAAATCCCACAATTTAGATTGAAAACAAAGGATTCTCTCATTAAGCTTTAGTTCTTTGCACTGATCATCGTTTTTTAGCTTTTTAAGCCTTGTTTTCTATCGAAATTGTGATTATTTTACATTCTCTAGGTGGCCCCGGTTTCAGTAGTTGCACTGTCAAATACATATAGCTTATACCAGCCATTCACTGTTCTCACAGACAAGCTTTTGTGATATTACATATATTATGTACACTTGACTTGTTTTCAGGGTATCTGTCAGCAGGGCCATTAAACCAATTAATGAGACAGGATGCCTTGGAAAGGTTCGCCCTCCAGACTTTTTTTCACAAAAGGTAATCTATAGTCAATAGTAGAGTTTATGTTTGTAGATAAATGAAGTTTTGGGCTACCTGTGGTGAAGATTTAACACAGGGCTCAGAGATTGGAACACAGGCAGGGATGATTTTGGATTTTGCTAGAWGTATGGTTATAAACGTCAATCTCATACTTTTACTCTATCGAGAATCAATTAAAGGAGTTCACTAGCATTTTGGTTTAGACAGGACATGTACCATAATCAGTTCAATATGTACGGTTTATTCATAGAGCAAAGAACCTCTTTTCTTTCACATATTTCAGTTTGATAATATGAATTGTGTTATTGTACATAGCAAGGTATTTTATAGATATTCCTACTGTTCCCTCGAGTTCATAAACTAACACAACATATATCTGCCTAGACGGGTCYAGGCTCAAATCTCCACACTTTAATCACACATGAGCATCGTCTACAATCATGATACAGTTATGATTGAGCGCAGTAAATCACTCTGTAATACAACCATCAAAAATTCTAAAGTTCAAAAGTCAATCAAAGCTTGGACCACACTGATTGCACAATCCCTTGASACACATTATATACAACTCATTAGCATACTGGGCCCAGTCCTCTCGTTCCCATAGGAACACATCTCTCTCCATTCCAATACACTGCGCTCCTTGTCCATTACAAGAGAAATCTAGTTTATATGATAAACTGAATTATTTTCTTTTATGATTTAGAACTGTGCAATTCTTTACTCTCAAATGCTGGAAAAGGTCAATACACCAAAGTAAGTAATATTTCTAAGACAACTTATCACATATAAATTGTTAAAAAAAATATTCAATGTAAAGCTATTTTCATTTTTACTTTTGCTGTGTTGTTTATGAACAAGGTATGCTTAACTCACTTTCTCAGAGATGTCAAATGTGAAGTTTGTTCATTGCACTTGTCTTTGTTTCTATACACTTTCAAATATGAACCAAGATGTTACRGTCACTKATTGGAGGACAAGGGAATAAAAACTGATTGTAAACAAAATCATGTCTTCCTSAAGTAATTTGGCAGAAAATGACATTTCAAACTTTTTAAAGTTTGTACATATGATATATAAGACAATTTTACCATAATGGTAAAAGGTATTGAGGCCTAAATTCCACATAATCATACATTTTTTGAAAGTTGAGTATCAWCAATTGWTTTTTTTWATCAAKATTGATTGAGTGATTGAGTGATTATATAGCTASTGATTGGTTGATTGATTGACTAGCTGGCTCGCTGATTGGTTGTTGATTGATTGACTAGCTGGCTGATTGATTTATTGATTTGATTGATTGGCTGACTGGCTAGCAGGCTGGCTGATTGATTGACCGATTGATTTTTTTCTCATTTTTCTTTGGAAGGAGGAAAAGGACAAATGATACTGGAGCAGGAGGTGAACTACTGATTTAATCATGTAATTGTTGGATATAAATATAATGCTCATTTATTCCCCCCTATTTCTCAGAAACACCTGGTGAACAGATTATTAGAAAATTGACTTTTGAAAGAATAGAGGAACTGAAGAAAAGCATCAAAAATGATCAAATGACTTACAGGTTAGTCAAACAACTACTTTGGATTATTGTTACAATCAAATCAAATCAAAGATTATTCATTTCCAACCAGAGTCTTTGATTTTCCATTGGGAAACTGATCTGGCTGGGTACATGAATTGACTGCATTTTCAAACTCATGTTGAAACAGTTTTCTGATAGGTTCAAAATCAAAGATGGCAAATGTTTGTGTATGGTGTTTACGTTTATTATCAGCTGTTTTACATCTAGTCCCTTTTATTAACTCACTATTCTGTTAATCCCAGGAAATTGAAAATGCGTATTGAAGATATAAGAAATGGTAAAGTTGATTCACAGCTTCCTGCAGTTTGGGAAGAAATCCAAGCGTAAGTGTCAATCATTAATCATAGAGTACAATYACTCAAACTAACTTCCTATCAAAATGGCCTATTAGTCTATTGATATCATGACTGCTGTTTGCTCTGTACCAACGCAAATRATAATGACTATTATAATTCTTTTGTTTTCTAAGGAGAAAGAGGCGATTTGAAGAGYTGCAGCAAATGCAGCAGTCAGGATCATTACCAACATCAGGGGGGGATGGTTCTGCAATTCCCTTTCCCAGCCCCACTGGGGTAAATTTTCCAGTTTCTGCTGGTGCTATGCTTGGTATGTCCATGTACTGATTTGATAGCCATCAAGATTGCTGGGGATGATGTGTATTCTGAAATCTTGGAAGATCATGCACAATTACTAAATGTCGAGCAAGAAAATGTTGCATTGCATAATGCATTTATCTAACACAATGTGTAAACTAATGTTTGATTGTTTCCATGGTTATGTAGGTTTGAAGCAAGGTACACAAGCAACTCCTTCACCTCACAAAGGAAAACAGCTCAGAATACCTAAGCCAACACCAAGGTATGTCAACCATCTTCCAGGTATTAGATAGAAAAATGGTCTAAATGTTCATTTTTTCCACAGTTGTGACCAAAAGCTCCTAGTACTGTTTTTCAAYCATTGATTTGCTATTTTTTTATGTTTGGTGTTTAGCAAGATCTTTAAAACAACCTATATGTTTCATATTGTGTTTATTGCTGAGAGTCTTTTTTTAGGTTTCAGAAGTATCAACAGCAGCTTCAACAGCGACATGGMCAAGGTGGACAACACGGTCAACCTACAGGCAGCCCTGGTGATGTAGGAATGCCGGGAGACTCYCCTAGAAGTTCAACAGATGCTCCCCGCTTATCATTAGATGCTGAACCTTTAAAGACTGAGCCGATGGATATAGACCCAGGTACAGCTGTTCAGACGGTCACTATAGATGTCCCTGCTGCCACTGCACCTGAGGTGTTTGTTCCTGAGGTAACTGTTCCTAAAACAGAGCCAAGTGTAACTAGTCCTGCTTCTACTGCAAGGAGACCATCTTCTGGGAATGTAATACCACAGGCAGATTCATTAAAGACACTTCTGACACAACCTGTAAAGGAACAGCATACTGCAGCACAGCTGGACTTAGCAAAAAAAGTAAGCATACTACACAATTACATAAAAACAGTTACAGTTTGTGACATTATTTTTGTGATGGACATACTGTATTTAAACAATATAAGCTACACTTTGTAGGTAGTCCACACCCCAAGTTGGGGAAATAGGGAAACTTTGTTTGTAATTTACCAAATCGCACTTACCGGTAATCCTGCTTAATTCATGATTTTTTTTCCATGTTATACCATTTTTTAAGATGAATTGCCCTCTAACTAATGTTTTTTGGGTCCCTTAACTGAAAAAAAACCCGCTCCCAAACCTGCTTATAATTTTCCGAATATAGTTTTGTTTTTTTTCTGCATAATTTGGGTTTTTTCGCACATTATTACAACATGCCTGTAAAAAGGATAATCAAAGTGTGTGAGTTCCGCATCCACTGGGACATATTTAGAGAGAGGTCACAGGTTGGATTTAATTGAAAAAATACAAATCTAGTTGTTGATGTAGCCTCCTCCACAGGCAACTCTTTTTTCCTCCTTTGGGCTTCCTTTGTAACGGTCATTTTGGCCGTTAGGCACTAGTGACTAGCAAAAATAAACCCTTTTCTCGCCCCCATTCTCCCTCTTTTGACTCCTCAAAAAGACAGGAAGCCCGTGATTCTTAGTGATGCCTGCAGAGGAGGCTATTGTTGATGCAGTGTTAAGATTCAAAATTGAATTAGTTTCCTGTTTCTACGTAATTTGTTTAATGCATATTTAATAATTATATAAATTAGATTGTGTGATGTCAAGTAGTGAGAATTYCAGAAAATGAACACAAAATACCCCTGAAATGTGTGTAATTGTGCAATTGTATTGATTGAGCTGGTCACTTGCAGGGCATTGATACACAATCATTATCAAGTGGGGCATCACAAGACAGCCATACCACCCCACCAGCACCTTCCATCCAACCTTCAACCAAAATAAGTGACGTGAAGCCTTTTTTAGGTGAGAGAGTATAGATTGGTGTCATTTTTCCTGCTGATTCAGTTAGAACAAAGATTGTGATTTGATGAAATAACAAAGAGAGACAAGAGGCAATACAAAAAACAAAAACGAGGATTTCCAACAATAGGCATTGTTTGTTTTTGTTGTCTTGATCAATCACAAGCTTCGTTCTGAGGGTAGTGGTTGACCCGACGCACAAAATGAAAGATTTTTTAGAGGGTTGTGTGTCTGTCCAGTCATCCTTGTCATTCACCCAGAGTTAGATTTTTCATATGATYGTACTTTCTATTGACACCCCTGATTATTCAATTATATAATCATCATTTATTTAACAGGGCATAGGTCGACTCCAGAGACCCATAAACTGGATTCGATTCGTGAGAGAGTGTCTTCTATTCCTGGTTCAGCATGTGTCACAGCACCAACTTTATCAAAACTCCTCTCGACATCAACAGCATCACCTAATTCTACTATTGTTGTAAATTCAGCTTCATCCAACTCTTTTATTGATAAGGTTTGATCAAGTTACTGTAGTTACACATGTACTATTATGCAMCTATCAGTTTAGCCTGCGTGACCAGGCATTCCTAGCCACTCCAAGAGAGTTTGGGCTGGTGAAACTGAGGAAGGAGCAACATTGATAGGTACATTATCATGAATAGTRTCTTGATTAAATAATCCTGAAACAAATTACAAAATAGGTTTTTTTAGCAAATATTTCTTGGTAAGCTCAACTTAATATGAMGTTTTGTGCATAATGTGTATTGAATATAGTCTCATTTCCAAATTCTGTACTTCTTACAYGTATTTCTTTCCCAGTCCATTCCAAACAGAACAATTGAAAATACYGTCTCTCCTGGTCTGCCTGGACAGGGCAGAGGAGCTATTTCTGTWGGTAAGTGACAACTCTTGACAACTGTTGAAGTAGATGCTTTTCAAATATAAGAGAACAAGTTAGGAGTGTTGTGAGGAGTGTTGTGTGCTAAAATACTTAATGTAGAGGTAGTGAGTGTGAGAGTACAGGCCCCCATTTAAACCAGCCTACGCTGAATTGGGTGGCCTGGTAAAATATCGTGGTTTTTTTTTTGTTTTTTTTTTTACTTGCAATGAAAACTTTAGTGCTTAGGCTAGGCCTTCAATTTTTTTAGCTGTTCCTAGAAAACTTATTTTTTATGCTGTTAAATTGCTTGAACATTGGTTTCTTAATGACATTGGACAAAAGGAGTTCATGTCAAGTGAAACTTAGAAGTATTACAAATAATTTTTAAAAATTCCAGGTGGAAAGGGTGATGGTGGTAGTGGTGCAGTAACAGCAATAACAGTAAACCCTAAGGTTGGAATCTACTGTATTTTCTATTATAAAATTTTTGATATATAACGCGCGCTCTGATTGGCTGACGACCGTGTTTATATCAGAGGACAGAGACATGGCTTACCGGYAAAATGTTCTTTTCGCTCGAAAAATGTAAAAAAAAAGAAATATAAAACKGCCGCTTGTGTCTCTGTCCTCTGATRTAAACACAGTGGGAGTTGAAAAACACTCGAGAAGCAAGAGAATTAACACTCGCTACGCATGTGTTCCTAAGCTTGCTTCTCTCGYGTTTTTCGAACTCCCACCGTGTTTATATCAGAGGACAGAGACACGCATGCCGTTTTATATTTCTTAATTAAAACCTACTTAGTTTCAAATTTTATGCTTAAAATTGATGATGATGATCATGACGGTGATGATGGATATTATTAATATTATTATTATTGCATTTTATTATCATTTACTACATGTATTATCAATTATGACTAAAATCCTGTTAATACACTGTAGAACGTACAAGTGACAAAAAAGTATAATTTATAAATAATGAAATTGCAGGCTGTGCTATCTACTGGTACTCTACCTTCACCAATAGCTATGACACCGCCCCCTACTACACCACCTGCTGAGAAGAAGGAGGTAAAACATGATATGAAATATAATTAAATGATATTAAAAGATCATTGTAAAGGCCTTGTTTCAAAGCTTGGGTAGCGCTTATCCTTGTTAACCTTTAAAAAAAACTATAAAGTTTGCAATGGATTAATGCTAACCACCTTTTGAATAACCCGGCCCAGGGCACTACATCTACTAATGGCTGAGGCTGTGTTTTTGACAGGAGGATAAATTGGAAAGTTTTTTTAAAGATCAATATCGATTGTAATGATAAAAGTTAAGGAAACGAAASGTATAAGTAGATTATTTAATTCACGAAGTTTCGGGGTCATCGCGACTCCATTATCAAGTGATAAAAGTGAATGATAATTACAAATATATATAGGCTGGGACAAGTAATTTGTAATTATCATTCACTTTTAGCACTTGATAATGGAGTCATGATGACCCGGAAACGTCGTGAATTAAATGATCTACTTATACGTTTCGTTTCCTTAACTTTTATTATTACGTACTTTCCAAACAACTAATATCGATTGTTGACAAAAAAAAATGTCTGAATGAATACATGATGATTATCATCATTATTAGATACRCAAATATCCGTAATAATAAAAATATTTTTATGATAATTCAGGGTATAATCCCTGAGACTGTAGTTCAAACCGTCGAACCCACTCCCAACCAGAGTGAGAATGAAAGCATTGAAGAGACACCAACTACATGTAGCAGGGAGGAACAAGAAACATCATCCAATGATACACCATGTCTTCCTCCTGAGAAAATAGAAATTGTTGACACACCACAGCCTTCACCTAGAGTCACTGGACGTACTAGGGCACCAAAACCAGGAAGACCAGGTAATATTGTGAAGTATTTATTGCTGCAACATAA